ATTTCAAGTGCTATGATATGTTGGACCCTTGCCAATCTTGCTTGCAATCAGAGCCAAGCACAGTTGTAGCCATGATGTTGTTTGATGAGGGAGGGACATTGGATAACATCCAAGGTTACTTATACTGAGTGTAGGCCCACTGAAGTCAAAAGGACATGAACTTGCTATCAAAACAAATACTCAAGAAAACACTAACTGTATAAAGGTAAGCACAGGTAACGTGTGCTTCTAAGTCAGGGTGGTCCAACTTTTCATACCAAGTGGGCCGTGAGAGCACTTTGACAATATGGAACCTGTGGGCCTCACACTGCCTTGTTGTATGGGAGAGGAGAGCAAGGCCCAAATTTAACACCTCCCCAGCTATAAAAACAGCTAAGGTTTTGGGAAAGAGTCCTATGGCTCTTGCAGGGTCCTAGAGCCCCGCTTTTCCAAAGCTGGAAAAGTGCTAACTGTGCTTTGGGAAGAAGGCGGGAGGTCTCTAGGACGTAGAGTGCCCAAAAAGACCTCAGGGCTGTATGTTGGGCTGCCCTCTTCTAAATGGTGTTTGAAACAACTTTCTGTAGTTTAAAATATAACAAGTTCCACATAGTTTATTGTATGGTTTTAGTTCACACCTTTGGTGATTTAAGGCATCAAACCAAGGAAGAAGACTACAAATTGGTTTTTTCTTGTTATTTTATTTTTAAATAGTTGATGAATGTTTTGTGCGAAAGCCTTGAAAAATCTGGAATGAAGGCTATGAATTTTGTATCTGCAGTGCTGGTTTTTTGTTTGTTTGTTTGCAATATCAGTTAGTGGATATTGCCTTTCATGATTTTTATATTTATCCAGCCATTGGAGGCCACCACCCCCCAAATAGCAAATGCTGAAACCCAGCTCCAGTGTGTGGGGCTGGAGGCTAGGCAAGCATGGCTTTGGGGCTTTGGCTGTTTTTGCCAAAACAGCGTGCAAAAGTCGTCTCTGTATATTATATGTGCTGCTTGCAAAGGAGCACACTGGAACCACTCAATTCAGAGAACAATTATAACCTCTAGTTATGTCAGCACAAGTTCTGTCAAGCCAGGCCCGTAGCAATATGCCTCCAAAGGAAAAGCGTTTTATAAAAGCCCTCCAGGTCCTGGCTTCCTTCCTATACATTCTTCCATTTAGTTGGCCAATAGCAATGCACCCAAAGGAAAGGTATTGTAGCCCTTTGAATATGTAGTAGTACATTGACAGATCTTCTGCCGTGCAACCTGCCACTCCTAGGGCTGCTACTGAGGAGACTAAAGGGAGAGAGGAGGGTTCTTAGGAGTTGAGGCATGTGTATTGGCGACTTTCCAAACTCTGGATTGGCTCAAGAAATGATCCAAGTTCTTTCCAAATCTTTTGGAATGAATTTGCATGATGGGAGAGGGTGTACCAGGCCAAATGCCTATCTAGTTCAGCATCCTGTTCTTATAGTGGCCAACCAGGTATCTATGGGAAGCCTATGATCAGGACCTGAGTTCAACACAGGGGTGTAGCTATCCGCTCCGGCACCCAGAGTGGCAAGGGTAGGGCGAGCCGCCCAGGGGGCTGCCGTGACGATGCACCGGGGGGACGGGACGCCATGGCAATCTGCTCAGGGGGGCTCCGCGGCAAGCTGTGCATTGAGTCCGCCTGGCGAACGCAAGACCCATGCTGCTGTTTCAGGCAGCGCGGGGCCCCGAGCCACTGCGTCACTCCCAGGAGAGATGCGTGGCTTGGGCGCGCTGCAGGCCAGGCCCCGTGGTAAGTGCCACCCCCCACAATTTTGTCACCCCCTCAGGGATGACAGCTGGGGTGGACCGCACCCCCTGCACCCCCTTCCTACGCCCCTGGTTCAACAGTGCTCTCCCCAATAGTGATTCACAGCAACAGGTATTCAGAGAAATACTGCCTTTCACAATGGAGGTAGAACAAAGCCACTGTGGCTAGTATCCATTGATAGCCTTCCTCCCCTACCATGAATTTGTCCAATCCTCTTTAAAAAACCATTCAAACTGGTGGCATCACAATATCTTGTGGGAGCAAACTCCACAGTTTTAACTATCTGCTGTGTGGTGAAGTGCTTTCTTTTGTCTGTCTGGAATCTTCCAGCACTTAGTTTCATTTGGAGGACCTGAATTCTAGTATTATGAGAAAGCGAAATGTGTAATTTTATACACTTCTGTCATGTATCTTCTGATTCACCTTTCTTTCAAAGCTAAAAATGCCTCAAATGTTGTCACCTTTCCACATGGGGAACTTGTTCTTGATGATTTTGGTTGCCTTTTCCTGAACCTTTTCTTGCAATATCCTTTTTTGAGGCGAGGTTATTGAAACTCTACACAGTGTTTCAAGTGTGGTCTCACCATAGACCTGTATAACACTATTACAATATCAGCAGTTTGATTTTCAGTCCCTTTCAGTAGCAGCCACAGAACGGAGGAAGATCTCTTTCCCTCTACAAAGTGACTCACTGAGATTATGTACTGCCTGACGCAGGTGGCTGTTACTGATTGAATAATGCTATTTTAATAGCTTTTTATCTGATGATTAGTACATTGTATTGGAGTATTTGAGTTCTGATTTGTTTTTGACTCTTAGATTCTTTTGACTATAATGCATCTGACTATAATGCAGTTAAGACATTTTCTAAATAAGATAAATAATTTTTGAGATGAGCGAGTTCTCACTCAGTTATAATGCAAGCTGCCATATCATGGCCTTCGATATTTGGAGAAAGCTGGAAATGGATTATTGATTGTCTTCTTTATCTATGTAAAAGTACAGCTTTAAGCACAGTAAGGGAACAAAATAAAAAATGAGTTCACCAAATAGGTTACACAGGATATAGCAAGGCTGGTGTCATTAGCAGTGCACATGTGTTAAGGTGACAGTAATTACTATGGAATTATGTGAGTTCCTGCTGTTGAAATAGCACTGATGTTAATTAAGCAGATCCGATGTGGCTTGGACAATGTTTACAGCCCTGACAGATAGGGCTTCTGGCATATGACGGCTGTTAAAACAAGCGTCACTAGTGATTTATGAGTCTGAACACTGAAGTGGCAAATGTATTTTGTTTCATACATGAAGCAGGGATTGGCCTTTCCAATTTCTATGCTTGTTGATGTCTTGTTACAAACTAGGTGTCATTAGAGACATTAAGACCCAGGGAAAATTGGTTGATGTATCGATTCCTTGCACTCCTAAAGCCTGATAAACTGCTGGGCTCCCATGGTGACTGTGGGGCCCTTGGTGCCAACCAAAGCCTTCCGGGAGTTCTAATTTTGGGGGAGGGGTGCCTAAGTGCCAGCTGTTTTATGAAATTATATTTTGTGCTGTCCACAACAGTTTGTTAGATTTCACATTGGGTCCAAAACAGTTGGGAACCTTTGAAAGCAGAGAGGGGGTTTGTGTGGAACAACTAAAACAACGGCCCTCATATATTTACATTTTTTTAAAAAAGAATTTTTTCCCCAAAGCATTTTCTTGAATTATGTATAAAAAAAGAATATAAACACCATTGGGATATACACCAAAGATAAATGGTTTGCCTGTCACATTACAGAACCACTCATCACTTGATGTTTAACAGCTGTGCGAGAGGACAACATTTTTTAAAAAATAAATCACAGTTATGCAGTCCAAATTTCATGAATTGCTGCTGGCAAAGATCTTGATATATCGACCTTTTCACTGGCATTGCTCTAGATAAATTTATGGGGATGGTGTTTCACCTCCCCTTCCCCCCATCTAGAAATGTGAGTTTCTGAATGATGGTGTTGCTGTCTGCTTACTGAGTTCCAACCATGTGTACCCATCTTTGTCCACTGTCATGTTGACAGGGTTGGCCCACCCATGAGGCAAGGTGAGGTGACTGCCTTGGTCTGCAGGATCCACAGGGGTAGCAGATTTGGCCTCCAAGAAATATGTAGCCCAGTGCTGCAGTTGCTGCCATAGTGGAGATAACAGCTGGGGTGCAGTTCTTGGAGGCCAGATCTGATGTCACCTCAGCAGCTCCTTCCAGTTCTGCCACCTACAGTGGTGGTGCTACTGGTCTCCTCTGACCCTTGGCCCCAATGTAGATCTTCATTCCACCCTTGTTCTTCACGCAGATCTTCACTTACCTCTTCTCCCATGGCTGGGGTGTGTGGTGAGAACAAGATGTCCAGACTAGGTGGGCTATTGGTCTGACCCAGCAGGCTCTTCTTAGATCATAGAATCAGAGTTGGAAGGGACCACGAGGATCATCCAGTCCAACCCCCTGCAATGCAGGAATCTTTCATCCAAAAGGGGCTCAAAGTACACAGGAGCATGGAGAACTTGAATATAATTTTTTACTCCATACTAACTTTCCATTTCTTTCTGCACTTTAGAATTCAGCTATCCCCCACAGTCTAGGTGCCATCCAGTTACCTTAGATTATAACTCCCATTCACCCAAGACAGCACAATCACTGGCTGGGGCTGATGGGAGTTCTAGTCCAAAACACACAGAGGGGAGGTTCTTGTTTGGGAAAAGCTGACTTAACCAATTGGCTGGAATATACTTGTACTAGCAAGAAAAAAATGATATACAAAATGTTATATCATAACCACAGAAATGTTTTAATCAACTTTATACAATGCTATATACGATGTTACTTTAACATAACATACATAATTTAGGTTCTTATGTTCTTAGAAACTGTAGCTCTTGGTAGGGTATTGTAATCAGTGCTTCCACTTGAGCAATAAGTTAAGGTTCTGCTGGTGGAGCTAATGTAAACTGGCGGTGAACTTTGATATCAGGTGAGTCATAGTAGTCACTGTTGAAATAAGGAGAAATATCCTGAGAGAAGTTGAGACTGAATATTTGCACTCTTGATGGAATGTCTGATAAGTGGAAACATCTGGCAAAAGCTGATGGAGCAGTTTAAAACAGTGAAGCAAACTATTTGTATCATGTTCTGCATAAAAATTGTATCATGTTCTGCATAAAAAATAATTGTGATTTGTTTGTTAATATTTCAGATTTTTCTGCTTGCCTGCCCACCCTGTCATCTTGCAATGGTTGTCTTCAGGTAACACTTTTATCAACTTTCATATGTCATTTAATTTTATGTGAAATATTTTAGGCCACATGCCAGAGAAAAAACAATCTACTGTGATTGCTAGTCACTTCATTAAAAAGGTGACTTGACAAGATAAAATACAAACAGATAAAATCAATTTAAAATCAGAAAATTTAAAACAATGTACGTTACATGATTCCTAAAATGCTCACCCAGCAATACAATAATGACCCTAGAGCAGCATGTAATAGTTACATAACAAATATCAGAAAATAAAAAGCATTAGATCAGGAAAACATTAAATAATTTTAAACTTATATCAGTAGGTATGGGCCTGATAAATTCAGTTATGCATCTTTTGGCTGTGTCACTAACTGGAAAGTGTCACTAACTGGGAAAATGTGCGTCATTATATACCAATTACATAAGCATTGAAATATAAACATCTATATCTATCATCTATCTATCTATCTATCTATCATCATCTATCTATCTATCTATCTATCTATCTATCTATCTATCATCTCTCATCTGCCTAACATCTATAATTAAAATATGCAATAAAACAAACACAGTTATTAAAACAGGAGGCTTGGATTGAGAGATGAAGAGAATGCTTGTATATAGGTGCATCATCTGAAGCCAGCTGAATGCCAATATGGATAGGCATGGATAATGCAATTTTCTTGTATTTTTAAAAAAATATTATTACATTTTATGCAGCCATATGGAACATCTGTTAAAAAATGTATGTTCTTACATTGTAAAGATGACCCTGTACTTTCCCTTTTTTAGGTTGCAGATGCATATGCTTAATGGGGCACTCTTGGCGTTGCTGTTTCCTGTGGTTAACACTCGATTGGTGAGTAAGCAAAACCTGCCTCTCTCCTTACTTGACTCTGTGTTCTCTCCTAGATATTACTCTTGCATTCCATAACAACACTCTTTCCCTGGAAAGACACTTGACCTTTGCAGTGGATTCCAGGCAAGGCCAACGTGGAAGTCAGCACACAGTACCACTTAGGCAATGCTCTCATTTTTAACAGAGTATAGTGATCTTCGACCACACACATTTGTAATAATGGAAGTACGGGTTATGCTAATGTCTCCTTTTCAGGTAAGAATGTTTATCATGCAGCAATTAAAACCAAATAATTAAACAATCATTAAACATAGCTATATAACTATGTGGGTCACTTAAAGCAAGAGAACCCCACACTATTTGACTAGAATCTGAATGCACAGAGTGCAATTTTGTGTACTGTTGGTTGTTTGCACCGATCTATCTTGACTTCACCCCCAGTGGCCTCTGGGTGTGAAGTCAAACCACTGAAGAATCACAGCACCTGTTGTGACTCCAAAGATAGTTAACTCATAACTACTGCCTCCCTTCACCTTTTCCAAAAATAAAATAACCAGGTATTCATATTTTGGAATGAGCTATGGAGCTGTACATATTTTTATTTATCCAAATTTTGTTCTCCAGCCTATCATTTTAGAACAACAGGTGTCCTGTCTTGATGACAGTGACTGAAAAGAATTGGGTTAGCAAACTCAAATCTTGTTTCGATACTTTAGCAGTTCTTCCCAACAGAGAATCTTAATGAGATGTCTTATGAATCAACAGCTGGTTAAATTAAAAGGTAAAGGGACCCCCTGACCATTAGGTCCAGTCGTGGCCGACTTTGGGGTTGGGGCACTCATCTCGCTTTATTGGCCGAGGGAGCTGGCGTACAACTTCCAGGTCATGTGGCCAGCATGACTAAGCCGCTTCTGGCGAACCAGAGCAGTGCACGGAAATGCCGTTTACCTTCCCGCCGGAGCGGTACCTATTTACCTACTTGTACTTTGAGGTGCTTTCGAACTGCTGGGTTGGCAGGAGCAGGGACCGAGCAATGGGAGCTCACCCTGTCGCGGGGATTCGACCCACCAACCTTCTGATCGGCAAGTCCTAGGCTCTGTGGTTTAACCCACAGTGCCACCTGCATCCCTAATTAAGATTAATACCAGATTAATGATTACCTTCATTATCAAGATTATCATGGCTTTAGTTGAGAGGAGCAGAAGTGAACTTGTTGGCAAACCAGAATGCAACTTTCAGACAGATTTCATTCTCCAGATTTTGCACTGCCATTTCCATTTCCCCAAATGTGCACAAAATAAAAATTTCACTTTTAAAATGTATTTGAAAGCTGTGCATTCTGGGGGTAATATACGGAAAAGCATACAAAACGCATATTTTTGGAGGAAGAATCTATACAACCTGGTCAAAATATATACAAATTAAATGCAGATTCCTCTTCCCTATACATTCTTAAAAACAGAATGATTGAACGCCAGTGAAACTGACATGGTTAATCTATCTATTCTTGCTCATGTCAGAAAAACTGTTGATTCTTTCCCCCCTTAGTGCCCAACTTGAGTGTGTAGAGAAAAGGATGCCTCTGGTAGATGGCATCTGTCTTGTTGGTAAGAACTAGGCAGGCAGCATAGCAACACCCTGTGTTTGGACAAGCCAATTCAAGACTTGCTTGCCTCTCATAAGTGGGTGTTCCTAGAGGGAGGCCGTTTCAGACTGTTCCATTTGTATAGGATGTCACTGGGTGCGGTGATGGTGGTAGCGCACACTAGTCCTCTGAAATATTTGTTCACCTGCCTCTACTAACTTTTGCCTGCAAAATGCTAAATTCAGATATAATGACTTTTGCTTGCTGTAGGCCTTTGGCATGGTGAGTCACAAATAAGTATCTGCTCTGAATTGATGCAGAGGAATTAAGACAAGCCACTTCTATATCAGACACAGATATGAGGGCCAGTGAACTCACAAAGTGCCAGTGAAGTTAACTCTTTATTCAAAGAAACAAAACAGCTCAGGCCTAATGAGCCCAGTAACTCTCCACAGTAGATCTTGCCCCAACTAGGCAGTTATGAGGACTGAAAGTCCCTGCCTTCCCACAGCACCCTAAGATGACTCCTTGCCCTGGTCCTTCCCAATCAATCTGAGACTTCATTGCCTTGTCTCCCTTTGCTCTGCCCTCTGCTGTATCCAGGAGGGCAGCGGAGCTGATTGCAGCAGGATGGGGAGACTCCCTGGCTTCTTCAGCAGTCTGCCTGATCTCTGCTTTGTGGCCCTTTCTCCTCTCCAGCCTCCTCTTTTGCCTCTGCTTCTGGACTGCTCTCTGCCCCAGACTCTTCCTGCTTACCAAACCCTGTTGCCTCTTCAGCTTCTGACACCCCCTCCTCCCAGCCTGCTCCCTCTTCTCCCTCTGACCATTCGTTGTCGTCCCACCACCCAATCCCCTGGCTCTGAGCCTTCTTCCCTTGCAGGTCACCCAGCTGGTGCCCCCCCCCTCCTCTGCAGCCAGCCAGTCCATGACATTCTATAATATAGGAACTTTCCTGAAACACACACACACAACCACAAAAACAAACAAACAAAAACAAAAACAGGGAAGTTAAACACAAATTTTTAAAAGAAATGCAAAAGATATACAGTTTCCTTCTTGAAAAGTTTTTTTTTAACCAAGTCATTTAAATGCTTTAATCTTCAGAAAGCTAATGAAATAAAGCACAACTTTTATCTGTTACAGGCCTTCCTTACTAATCCCCTTTTTCCTGTTGGACCATTTTAATTAGGGCTGAGAGGAAATTGTCACATATCATGAAAGCGAGTGTATAAGAAGCCAGCTGTCATAATTACAAAAGTCAGTTCGGTAATTTCTAATATGCACAGCACCAAACCTTTCTTTATAACCAGCAGGAGTAGTTTCCCCGGCTTTTGTTGGAAAGCTTAGAACCCGCTGAACAGATTGACACAAACAAGGTGTCATTGAAACCCCCATGATGTACAAACAAAGTACTTCCAGTGCTCAGTTTCACAATCTGCTCGCTGACATTTATAATTCAAAGATCTGCCAAGCCCCCACTTTAGCACTTGGGTGTTTGTTCCTGCTGCCTGACCGTGTTAGCCACATAGTGAACAGCAGCAATTTAGGCCCAGGGTTCTCTGCCTGAGCAGGCTTTGGTAATCCAAATGTAGAAATAATAATGGCCTGGTTCGCAGGAAACTATGGTGTACTGAGACCGTGTGAATCCACTGATTCCTAGGGAGAAAATCACAGCCAGTTTGTTCCTCTCCAGTCTTTTTTATCATAGTGTGTGGTAGAGCAGCTCAGACAAGCAGTGCTGGCCCACCAATGAGGCATGGTGAGGCAACTGCCTCAGGTGGCAGGATCTCCAGGGGCAGCAAATCCTGATGTAGGTCTTTATTTCCCCCCTTGTTCCTGATGTAGCTCTTCTCTAACCTTTTCTTCCCTGGCGGGGAGGGAGACCCCATTTTGTTGTTCGCCTCAGGTGCCAAAATGTATTAGGCCAGCCTTGAAGAGACAGGGTTGTATCATTCAAACCCAGGGTCATGGGTAATAGTTCTCTGCTAACCATGAGCTGCAGCCCAGGTTTCTTCCTGGCTGCAGATCAAGGTTTTTTATTTAATAATAATATCCTGCCTTTTTCTCAGACCAGGATTCAAGGCGGCTTACACAAATTAAAACAGCACTGATAAAATACAAAACGCTAAAAACATATTAAAAATAATAGTTGAAAAGTAATTAAACTCTAATAGAATTAAAACAACATAAAAACAAATATTTTAAGATGCAGATCATAAAAAGAGCACAGCGCTATTTAAAAACAAAAACCCATCAGTCTCCCAAATCCTGTCAGAATAAAACAGTTTTCACCTGCTGGCAGAAGGACAACAAGGAGGGAGCCAATCTAGCTTCTCTAGGGAGGGAGTTCCAAAGGACCTGGATGACATTCTGATCACAGTTCTGTCTTAATTGCAATGCCACACTGAGCTAAAATTACCTGGGAGGGGAGGAACAAAGCAGCTGCAGTTTCCTTCCTGAGAGTTTACACATACACACTAAGCCCTAGTCTGGTTTAGCATTACATGCAAATGTGGCAGTTTTCCCCTCTCAGCTTCTCAAACATGGTTAAGTGTTTGGAACCGCCGCCCCCAACCCCAATGAAAAGAGAGCCTGGAGCCCCCCATGGGCCTATGAGCTAATTTCTCTTCTCCCACATACATTTCCCTCCCAGGCTTTTTCACTATTAACTGTATCAGCGGTTCCCAACCCCGCAAGCCACCTGCTTGTGGACCACTTAATGTTTTTTCTACCTGTTGAAGCAATTGCAATGCACTGTGCTAGATACTGTGCGGGTTTTAACTGCATTTTTTTAAAAAATCGCTTCTTTCATTTTCTATTGCAGTTTTCCATTTTTAAACTTTTTTTTATTTCATTTACATCCTGCTTTTCTTCCCAAGGAGCTCAAGGTGACATATATGGTTCAATTCCTCCCTGTTTTATCCTCACAATAACCCTGTGAGGTACCGTATTTTTCGCTCAATAAGACGCACCAGACCACAAGACGCACCTTGTTTTTGGAGGAGGAAAACAAAAAAATATATATTCTGAATCTCAGAAGCCAGAACAGTCAATCTTGCTGTTCTGGCTTCTGGGATAGCTGCGCAGCCTGCCTTCTCTCCATAAGATGCATACACATTTCCCCTTACTTTTTAGGAGGGGAAAAGTCAGTCTTATAGAGCAAAAAATACAGTAAATTAGGCCCGAGACTGTGACTGGGCAAAGGTTTTCCAGTGAGTCCCATGGCTGAGCATGGATTTGAACCTGGGACTCCCAATTCCTAGTCCAACACCACACATGAATTGATATTGCAATACAATATAAGAAATAAAATAAACAGCAACGTCATTAAAAAACAGTAGATATAATATAATGCAATGCATATGGTGCCTCCCATCTTTAACCAAAAATCCACATACATGTCACAGACCACTTG